TACCGCATCACAGCCCACCCCTACGGTCAGCGCTGTCCACGGCCTCCAGTAGGCTACAAACACCAGAAACTACTTGCAACTCCTGGACAGAGAGCTAGGGTGAATAAGAAGTCGAGCGGGGTCATATTTCAGGGCCCAATGCATGGTAGTAGCTGTATCTTAAATCACGCATACAGATCTCAGTGCTTAAGGTCGGCTTCAATGAAACAACCCACCATGTACTCCTACATGGCCTCTCATCGATACCTTTACCAAATCGTGTTCACCACACCACTCTCATTACCGACATAACCATTTCACTCTAGCCCATCACCCAGATGAACCAGACCTGACACGACTCTAAGCATAGCAGGCATAGCAAGGTAGGAACAACACATACATATGGCTCAATCAACTCCTACACATGCTAGTGAGTTTCATCTAGTTACTGTGGCAATGACAGGTCATGCAGAGGAAATGGGTTCAACTACCGTAGCACACAGCAGTTTGAATCGCGTTGTCTTAATGCAGTAAAAGAGAGCAGGAGCGAGAACATGGGATTGTATCGATATGATCAAATGGTTGGTTGCTTGCCTGATGGTTCGATGCACTGATACGGTTCTTCGTTAGGGTAATCACGGTAATCCTCGGAGACAGAACCTGCCGCAGAGAGCACCGATACACAAACATTACCAAACAGTATGCAAGAATATGATGCATGCATGAGACATGGCAAAATGAGTGTATTGGGCTAATGCAACTAAAACCAGAAGGGTTTGAACAAATTTGAATCAAGGATTCAAATTTCAAATTCAAATATGGCCTTTTAAAGTGCTTTTCCTTGTTCTGCTTAAAACATCAATTTAACTTGTTTGATCATGCATGAAAATAGTACAGCTGGATAGATTGGATTTTTCTGATCATTTTTCATATATAATTTGTCCAATTTGGAGTTACAGAATAAAAGTTATGAATTTTTGAAGTTTAAATAATATTCTGGAATTTCCTGATTTAAATTAAATCCAGAAATTATAGTTATTGCGCCAGCATGACGTCAGCATGACGTCAGTGGTCAACTGCGGCTGGCTGGAGTCAAACCTGACGTGTGGGGCCCACACGTCAGTGACAGGGGGGGTTAAACAGGGTTAAATTAATTCTAATTACTAATTAGTGGCGCTGGGGCCCACTGGTCAGTGTCAGGGGTTAACTAACAGTGGTTAGCGCTAATCTAACCATCTGACCGACAGGGCCCACGCGTCAGTGACCCTGGGGGGTCAAACCTCAGGTCGGACAGGTCAAACCCCACCGGCGACATGACGCCGGCGAGGCCCGAGACGGCGGCGAAAGTGCTTTTTGCCATTCCGGCAATCAAATGGACGGCGGAAGGCATCTACGTGTTGCTGAGGTTGAGCCGCGACTATTGGTGGTGGTGGTTGGGCTCGGGGTGGCCGGAGTTGACGGCGGCGAGCTCGGCTGCGGCTGCCGGAGTTCGGGTGCGGTCGGAATCGACGTTGCAGGGGGCTTGGGGAGGCGTTAGTGCGCGCTGCGTGCTCCTGGTGAGGTGGGGAGCACGATAGTGCGCTCAGTTGGGTGCTACGGTGACCGTGGCCACGACGGCGACATCGCCGGCGGCGTGGAGCTCTCGACCAAGGTGGGGCTAGGGCCTAGAGGTCGGGAGAGACCAGGGGAGAAGGGGGAAACGATCCGGGGCTCACCGCGGGGCTGCAGAGGTGGTTAGCGGGCTCGGGGACGCGCTGGAGACGACGAATTCGACGGCGACGATGATCGGAGCCTGAAGAGGGGAACGGCGACGTGGCGGCGATGCAGGGCTTCCGGGGAGCTGTGGAGCGGTGGGGAGGAAGAGGGAGTCGAGGCGGAGCTCCTGAGCTAGTCGGGGGAGCGAGGGGTGGTCGGAGACGGCGGCTATGGCGAACGGCGGCGACGGTGGTGTTCGGCCGTGAGAGAGAGAGGGAGAGAGCAGCACGGGAGAGAGAGGGGGATAAGGCCAGGGGATCGGGGCGGCACCGAGAAGAAGCGCCGCGGCGTCGCGCTGGCGGGGGAGGCAGGCAGACGGGCTGGTGGCGTGGCGCTCCGGCCGTGCGCGCGTGCCGGCCACACGCCTGGCCGACTGGCGCCAGGAGGACGACGGCGGTGGTGGGCTGGGCTGGCTTGCTGGGCCGGCCAGCTGGCTGGGCCGCACAGGGAAGTTTTTCCCTTTTTTTCTGTTTCTGTTTTTATTTAATATATCTGCAACTTTGTTGAATTTAATAAAATACCTAGGCAAGTTCAAAAATCACCAAACTATTCCTGGCCCATAGTTGGATTATTTCCAACATGAAACATTTTAGTTTGGAGATATTTGAGCATTTAAATATTTTATATTATTTTAAATGCCCAAATTCAAATATTTATGATTTAATTCAAAAACCCTAGGATGGCCTAGGAAAATGTGCACCATTTTTGGCAGAGGTTTTGAACCAAGACAAAAATGATGGGCATTTTAGAAGGGCATTTCAGGTTCATTGAAAAAATTATTTTAGTAACCCTAGTTGGTTTCAGAGGGGACTGGGGGTTCTGTCATCCCCATTTCAAGTTTCTGATGAAAGAATAAACATGATGCAACACTCTAATGCATGACTAGCTAGGGTGTGACATCAGAGAAGGAGGTTGACGAGGAGTAGTTTTTTATCTATCGTAGGAGGAGGATATAAACTATCTATGTATCGTTTTTATCTCTCGTTTATTTATCTATGCCTATAGTATCACACGATGTTGAATGTGTATCGGGTCGGAGTAGAAGAAGAAGAAATATAACGCGTCTGCTAGAGCGGCGCGCGCGCAATATTTTACAGCGGACGTTGGAGCCAGCGCACAGCGGCGCGTACAAACTGGCTACAGAGACGTTGTAAACGCTTTTTTAGCGTGCCACGCGTTGCGCGCCTTGTTGGAGATGTTTTTACTGTATCTTTGCTTAGTCCTTGGTAATAATATATAGATCTAACTTTCCTCACAAAACAGTAGCATATACTATTTTCTTCGTCTCAAAATAAGTGTCTTAACTTTGTATTAGTTTTGATATAAAATTGTACTAAGACTGAGACATTTATTTAGGGACAGAGGGTGTACTTGGAAAGAAGCGGTTGGTTTTCGTTGTTCCATGCCAAAGCATGTATTCCATTTCCACGCTACTCCAATATGAGATGAGTCCATCTTTCTCCGCTTCCGTTCTTCAGTGCAGAAACCGCCTGGGTCAACACCAGATAAGAGGCGTGACATAAGGCAGCGGATCACTCGCCCTCAAGCTCTTCTTAGTTCTTACTGAAGTCCAGTGAAGAGGAGCAGCAGCAGTGGGCATGTCACCGGCGACGGCGAGAGGCGGTGCCCAGGAGGACCAGGCCGGCGAAGCCGGCGTGGACAAGGACGGCGCCGCCGAGGGAGGGAAGGGCACGTGGAGGCACGCGGCGGTCCACGTGGCGACGACGATCGCCACGCCGGCAGCCTACGCTCCCTTGCCCTTTGCCCTCGCATCCTTGGGCTGGCCTCTGGGTAAATTTTCACAAACCGATGTGCTATTAACAATCGCCATACTGTTTATTTACCGTACGGTGTAAATTCTCTGGTTGGTTATTTTTTGATCGGGTGATTAGCGGCTCTGTTTTTCCCACAGGTGTTTGCAGTTTGGTGATAGGGACGCTGGTCACCTGGTGTTCTAGCCTGGCCGTTGCCTCGCTGTGGCAGTGGAACGGGGAGAAGCACACCAGCTACCGGCTGCTCGCACAAAGCATATTTGGTCAGTGCAATTTTCCTCCAACAAATAGTAGTTCTTACCATCTGACGAATACTGTAACTGCAGAAACCTTTTTTATTGTTGCAAAAGAAAGTTGCTGAGAGAAATGCTCTTTTGATCATTTAACTGCAATTCTCGTCAATGGTGCACTTATGATTCAACATCGACTGTTAAGTGTTAACAGCACAATAGTTGGTGAAAATTTACCTTGAGAGTGACTCTGTACTTTGTTGATCAGGTCCATGGGGCTACTGGTATGTGTCGTTCTTCCAGCAAGTGGCGTCGGTTGGCAACAACATTGCGATCCAGATTGCGGCCGGCAGCAGCCTCAAGGCCGTCTACAAGCACTACTACGCCGCCGACCATGGCGCGATGACGCTGCAGCACTTCATCCTCCTCTTCGGCGCGTTCGAGCTGTTTCTCTCGCAGCTTCCCGACATCCATTCGCTCCGGTGGGTGAATGCTACCTGCACTGCGTCCACCATTGGGTTTGCCGGGACAGCCATCGGTGTCACGATATACGATGGTAAAATTCAGTAAATTTTCATCATAAAGTACTGAAATTGCTGAAGATATGAAACAATCTGACAGCATCCTCTGCTGGCTACCGCACTACCGCAGGATATCGGGTTGACCGAAATGATGTTGGCTACAGCCTGCAAGGAAGCACCGGAACTAAGGTCTTCAGAGGTTTCAATGCACTGGGCACAATAGCCTTCTCATTTGGTGATGCAATGCTGCCAGAAATCCAGGTGCCCACCTGAAAATTCAGTTGATGTATCGATGAATTAAGTGTACAATCAATCATTCCTTGTGTAAAACTGGCTGAAATGCAGAGCACCGTGCGAGAACCGGCGACGACAAACATGTACAAGGGTGTCTCGACGGCGTACACATTGATCGTCGTGTCCTACTGGACACTGGCATTCAGTGGCTATTGGGCATTTGGCTCTGAAGTCCAGCCATACATCTTGTCCTCCCTGACTGTCCCAAGATGGGCAATTGTAATGGCAAACATATTTGCAGTCATTCAGATCACAGGTTGCTTTCAGGTAACTGTAACTTATGGCAAACGTGCTACTTCCATCAGAAGTTTCTTGGCAACCATCCAGTAACTAACTGTACCTCTTCTTCACAAAGATATACTGCAGGCCGACATACGCGCACTTTGAAGAGCGCATTCAGGCGAAGAACACGGCGTACAGAGCATGGCTGTGGCGACTGATGTACACCTCTGCATACATGGCGACGATCACCCTTGTTGCTGCCGCAATGCCATTCTTTGGGGACTTTGTATCAGTTTGTGGAGCGGTTGGGTTCACCCCACTGGACTTTGTGCTGCCTGCATTGGCATTTCTCAAGGCCGGGAAGCTGCCCAAAAACCTGGGCCTGCGGCGTACTGTCAAGGCCCTTTGCTGCTCCGGCGCCGTCTTGTTCTCTGTCATCGGAGTTCTTGCGTGCACTGGCGCCATCAGAGCAATTGCGCTCGATGTCAAGACCTACAAGTTCTTCCATGACATGTGATCATAGTTAAGTTATATCAGGTTGCTCTGTGCATCAGTTCATTTAGATGTAGGTTTGTTTGTGCCAGTGTTAGATGCCAGGTAGTAATATGCAATGTCATATACAATAGTACATGGGGACTCATTTTGTAAGTTGAGTCACATTTTTGAAACATATATAGGATCAGAATCAAAACACAGACATCTCAGACATCTCAGACTTCGATGACCACAGAAATCGACTTACAATTCATGAAAAAAGATATCAAGAAAGCAACGAATAAGCATACCACTGTAATAGAAGAACCTAGAGCAAAGCATACATGATGGATGCTGTCATATAAATCATGACATCATACATAACAATAGTGCATTTCCTTCTAAACACAAAGTGTAGGACTAGGACACATTAAATTTCGTCAAGAATTGATTCTCATATTGAACTGAGCATTCTAAGGTCCGACAACCTAGTGGTGTGAAATCTGTCTTCTGCAAACTCCTCTGACAATTTCAGGTCAATGCCTGCAACAGCATTGACACCGAACCTTTTCACCCTGTCACTGAGAAGAACTGTTATTATAGAGTCTGAGATATGGCTGGGTGCACCAGAAACAACCTTGAAGAGGGCCTCTCTCGGCAAAATCGGCTGTGCGGTCGGTACTTACTACCATGCCAAGGTAGTAGATGAGAACTTCATTCATGTAGCCATGTGCATGTTCTGGAGTTTCCTCTGCTGTTCAATTGATGCTGGTCAACAGCCTAAATTCATCAATCTTAGAATTGGCCAAGGTTTGTGAGGTGAATGAGGAGAAAGGTTTCATGTGAATTTGTGTCTTACTCATATAAAATTGGGCTGCTGCAAATGGTTTCAAATAAATTAAATTAAATCATACCAGCTGGAAAACATTTTGAAAACTGCCACTTTCCTGGTCCCAAATGTCACTACTGCTAAATTTGGTCTAAATATCATGGTCAAGTGTCGAGACAGACACCTCCCTTTAATATTAGGTAGAGACAGATATTAAGTTAGAGATGTGAAAGTGTCGAGAGAGACACCTCACTTTAATATTAGGTTAGGTAGAGATGTGAAACACATCTTTTACTTTTGTTAGGTATAAATTCAAGTTCTTTACACCCATGTAAATTTTCATAGCAAAAGAGCACTGAAACTTTTTTTTGTGCACAGGGTGCAAAATAACCATCTCCCATGAAAGTTTACAAACGCAAAACAGACAGTGTTCTTTCTGTAATATTTTGACACTCAGAAATTGTTTTCACCCAAGAGTGCACCATTGAATTACTCTGCTACTTCACCACATAACTGAATCTTCTTCGCATTCTAGAAACGCAACTTGTTTCGTCTTACTAATGCTTTTGAGAAACACAACCAGCTTGAAACTGTTGTCAAAATCAAGAAAGATGCCAAAATCAAGAGCGTCTTTAGCTGGCTACGACATCGATTTCAGATTTATTGAAGTAATATACAAGCACAGGTTCCTGAACTAAGACCATCTATGTACAGTAACCATGAGCACTTGCAACAGCAATGGACTCAAATGGATGATTTATTCAGAGAACAGTAACATCTATTCAGAACTTCCACATGACATCATTAAGCTGGATGAGGATCTTGTGGAGACCTGATGTGTCACTGGGGATTTGGTGGGCGGCTATTCGCGGCGGAAACCCTAGAACCCCACTCAAGAAGCTCTTTACTAGTGTCATCCTTGTGCACAATTACCTCTATAAAGCACAGGCTGTCCTTGTTGGGTCCTAGGGATGCCTCAATTGCCTTCTTCAGTTCCTCCTCTGTTCGGACCTACAGACACAAAGGTGAAATGTCATTGCAATGCAGTACTTTTTAAATATTTTGAAATATATTCAGGTGGGGAGTCTTTCCCCCGGGTGACAGTTTCAAAAAACCTTTCTAAATTGTTTTAGCCGTATAAATAAATATATATTACAACTGTAACACCAACCTTGGCCGTATAGCACTTGCCCTCGCCATTATGGAATGCTTCCACCACGCCGGTGTAGTTCCAATTCTTGATGACGTTGTAAGGGCCGTCATGGATCTCCACCTCAATGGTGTAACCCCCGTTGTTTATGAGAAAGATGATGTTGTTCTGTTCCCACCGGAGCATCGTCGACACTTCTTGTGCCGTCACCTATATACCAGCTCAATTAAATCTTTCTTAGCCACATATTTTGATAGAGCTTTACATTTAATAGTATAGGATAGAACGATTGGTGATTCTGATTTTTTTCATACCTGAAAGCTGCCATCTCCAATGAAGGAAATGACTCGCTTACCCTTAGCAGCCTGCGCATATCCCAGAGTTGCACCCACAGCCCAACCAATTGATCCATATTGCATCTGAAATTCATACCTGCCAAAAGAAAATGGTGTTTAATTAAACATAAACCGAACAGTATACGTCCTACTTACTGACACAAACAAGGCTTGTCAGTTGTTACCAATGTGAAATTAGTCTAGACTTCTATCATTCATTTTCGAGACTCTTGCATGAAACCAGCTGATAATATGGTCTCACTAATCGGTGACACGTCACGGGTTATTTTATCGAAGTTCAAACTACTATGAGGCATTTTATCAAATTCTCCCGGATAAATAATCAATTTGCAAAACAATCAGAACAAAATATCTTGATATAATCCAACTATACCTATTACCTAAATTAAAAATACTAAAAGAACGGATGTGACCAACAACCAATACGTGAAGTTTAAAAAAACTCAGACCGAAGTTAGAGGACTGAAACATTTCAGGGGAGCTTACCCACAGCCTTCTGGCAGTTTCAGCTTCTGGCAGTTAAACCATGAGTCCCCAGTCTCTGCTATAACAGCTGAGTCGCCAGACAGCATTTTCTGAATATGCTTGAAAAGTACATTCACTCTCAAAGGCTCTCCAGGCGCAGAGGAAAGGGGTTCGCCCTGAGGCACAAAAATCCGACTGTAGTTGTCGTAGGCAGCTGTGTTCTTCTTCAGCCGGGTTCCAAGTGCATGCAGGAAGTCCTTCATCAGAACACACCCAAATGCAGGCCCGTTCCCAATCACCACTCGGTCTGGCTGGACAATGATGGCCTTCTCCTTCTTGAGAAGAAGTGAGTACCCAACCGAGCTGTAGTCGTTAAATATCGGGCCGGCAAACAAATAGGCATCAGCTGACTCCACAATCTCAGCACAGAACGGAGAGCTGACAGCACCCCAGTATGTGCCAATAAATCTAGAATGGTGCTCTGGCACAAGCCCCTTTGCAGAAGGCATCGCTGCAACCGGATAACCGCATGCATCAGCCAGCTCTACGAAGGCCTCGCATGCTTTGGCCACCCTCATCTTTGGTCCGCCAACAAGAACCGGCTTGACTGATTTGTTCAGAAAAGCCGCAGCGGTCTCCACTGCTGCTTCCAAGGTCATCTGGTTTGACAGTCTGACAAATGAACAGTTCATCAACATCAGTGATACCGAGCCAACTGCCATCTCATCGTCATTATGCCCATACAGGGAGCATGCCAACTTACTTTGGGGAGAGAAAGAAAGGGACAGGATGGCGGCTAAAGGTAGGATGCGGGATCGATGGGAGGTTGCAGCTGATGCTGATGTAAACAGGCTTGCTCTCCTTCAGTGCAGTGGAAATGGCAGTGTCAATCTGTTCATGTGCATCCTCCAAGTTGTTCACCACAGCCTGCAATTTATGAAATGAGGTCATATCATAGAAAAAAATAAAATAAAAATCGCAATGCTCATATAGATATCTTGCCTTTTCACTTTTAAATTAAATTCACAATACCAAGCATACATATCATCTGCGGAAGGTGAAGGTTTAGTCTCCTCTTAACCTTCTATGTAGTCACACATGTTCATTTAATTTCCCGTATATGAACGCTTTATTTCCTCATTCTGTTAATATACAAATTTATGCGTGTACAGTGAAATCATTCTTGCAGTTTAATTGTCTTACAGAATTATCATATTATTCATATACGCCATCCAAACTAACTTAGAAGTACAAAAGTAATGGATAATCAAGCGAGAGATACAACTGATGCACCAAGCACTGTAATGGACTAAAAGTTATGCTTGAAGTTGTTAAGCATAGTAGCTACTCACGCATGACAATAGTCCAAGTCAGAAGACAGAAGGAATTTTCCTCCGAAAATGGGGGTAGTTTCCCTGTTTCTATATTGGAGAATCCTATTTCTGAACAAATAAGCCAATAAGTGTAAAATCTACTCCCTCTGTTCCTAAATGTAAGGTGTTTTGGCACTTTAAATTAAACTGCCAAAATGTCATACATTTAGGAACAGAGGGATACATTGTTCTAGAAAGCCTGATTTTAGTTTGGAGCAAACAGCATGTCCAGCAATGAATCTGGTGATCTCCACAGCCAAGGATTTTACATGCACCCCATAGTCAATAACTCAATATTCAGAGAACAAATTTATCTCAGAAAAAGAGATTTTTCATAGTTACAGTATAAACAAAATCATCAATCCCTAAGCTCAAAAAAGCATAAACGGATCCTATCAAGCTTTACGGATTTTAGCATCGCGGTGACCTGGCAATACAGAAAGAAATTATGTCTCAATATTGCAAATTGTATAATAGTAATACTGTTGGATTGAACATTGGAATCAACTGTTTAGACAGACAGTGCTAGAACTGCAGCAGAGCCATTCCCTGAAAAAACAACTAAACCCCAAAACCCAGACTACAGGACATGGAGGAACAATCAGAAAATATCACAAACTGAACATGTCACAAAGGGAATTGCGAATTAGACCACAGATCCAGTCCATTGACCAAACAGAAACTAAAATAATTTTTTAACCTAAAATCTAAGCAGTGCCAAAATCCCTAACAAAATCAGAGCATTTCGTCTTGAGGAACGACATTAAAACTGAACAACAGAGACGTACCTGATAACAGGTGACGTTCTGGAAGCAGCGGAGTTCCTGCGTGAAATCGGGGATGCCGATGGTGTGGTGGAGGATCCGGTTGCTGCCGTAGTCGTTGCTGTTGGGGCCCCCGACGATGCAGATGACGGGGAGGTTCTCGCTGAAGGCGCCGGCGACGGCGTTGATGGCGCTGAGCCCGCCGACGGTGAAGGTGACCGCGCAGGCGCCGACCCCGCCGTCGCGCGCGCGGGCGTAGCCGTCGGCGGCGTAGGCGGCGTTGAGCTCGTTGCAGCACCCCACGAGCCGCACCCCGCCGCCGGACGGCTGCTCCGCCTCCAGCTCGTCGAGGAGCGTCAGGTTGAAGTCCCCCGGCACGGTGAAGACCTCGCGCGCGCCGACCTCGGCCAGGCGGCGCGCGAGGTGGCGCCCCAGCGTGGCCTCCCGCGGCAGAGCGGCCGCGGAGGGCGGCGCCGCGGCGTCCGCCGGGGAAGGAATCGAGCCGATGTCCATGGCGAGGGCAGGGAGGACGGCAGTTCGCGCGGAGGTTCTTCCTGGCCGCGGCGGAGGAGGGGAGAAGGTTCGTGCTTGGAAAAGTCGGCTGATTGGCGCTCGTGATGTAGGCGTCGGACAGTTGGAGGCTAGTGGCGAGGCGACACATCGCCGGGCAGCGCAGGCGGGCGGCTTCTAGACGGAGGGAACAAGTGGCGCGTGGCTCCATTTTATTCCTTTCATTCGAGAAAAGGGCAAAGGTCCAACTTTTAGAAATTAAAGACCCAAACCTTCACGGCGGCTAAACAATGGACTAATTTATGAAATCACCAGTCAAGCTCTCCTTGCAAAAATCACATCCCCGCCTTCTCTGATTTGACAACAAACGACCCATGCATTGCATATGGTTCAGTTTTCGCAGCATGAAAGTTTCTCATTTTTTTAGATTCGTTCTTCAAAATGTTTTATCTTTTGAATCGTGTGTCAAATACCAAACTACTTGGATTTTGTGTGTTGAGATCTTCAAAATTAGATCCCTGACGACCATGAGGTGGGAAAAGGTAGGGTGGATCCGCATGACGTTTCCATGAAGAAAAATGGCATCCTAGGGTGTTGTCGCCATCGCGGCTGGCATGAACCGACCTAGGAATTATCCCAATCCGAATTCCCACCTCCCGCTCCGTCCCAACCCGGTAACCGGCTAGCAGCATGGCAATGTCCGGTAAGACAGAGTGCACGCAACATGTGTTGGAGGAAGAAGCAGCTCGACGTCCTTGGCCGCCGGGGTAGCAAGCCGCGGCACCAACACGCCGGTGAATCGCCGGCCATCCGATCTGATTCCTGGCAACCCACCCGCCCCACTGTGCCACCGGACGGGGAGGCCATCCCAGGAGGCTGCCGACCCTGATCCAGGGCACTCCGCCCCATATCGGGAAGGGCTGCACCAGCCCTGACACCAAGGTCACCGTTGGGACACCGTCGTTGTCCATCAAGGCGCCTTGGTCCAAATCGGCACCGCCATGATCCAGATCGGTGCCGCACCCCCCCGAGATGGGGTGTCCCGCGCCACCCAAAGACCCGAGAAGGGGGGCAGTACCTCTGCCGACGCAGACCACGGGTGGCGAAGGAGGGAGGAAGGGGAAGGCGGGGAGAATTGGCGGATGTGGCTGGGGCCCCTCGGCCGCCCGCATGGGAGGCGACGGAGGGGAGGGAAGGGAAGGGGCGACGACACGTGTGTACTCTTATTACTAATATAATGCCTATCTTTTGCTTTTGGAAAGCACAACAACCCTGAAACTTCTGTCAATTCAAATAACTCAAAGAAAGATGCCGAAACCAAGAGCGTCTGTACCTGACCACAACATCGATTTCAGATTTATTTAGGTAATACAAGTACCAGTTCCTGAACTGAGAACACCAGCGTACAGTAACCATGAGCACTTGCGGCAGCAGTGGACTCAAATGGAGGATTTATTCAGAGTTCAGTACATGTGAACTTTCACATGACCTCATTAAGCTGGATGAGCATCTTGTAGAGACCTGGTGTGTTCACTGAGGATTCGGCGGGCGGCTATTTGCGGCGAAAAGCCTAGCTCCCCACACAAGAAGCTCCTTGCTAGTGTCATCCTTGTGCACAATTACCTCTATAAAGCACAGGCTGTCCTTGTGAGGTCCTAGGGATGCCTCAATTGCCTCCTCCAGTTCCTCTTCCGTTCGAACCTATACAGACACAAATGTGCAATGTCATTGCAATGCGGTGTTTTGAAATATCTTTTAACCATATAAATACATCATGCAATAAATTGCGTCACCAACCTTTGCAGTATAAGAGTTTCCCTCGCCATTATGAAATGCTTCCACCAAGCCGGTGTAGTTCCAATTCTTGATGACGTTGTAAGGACCATCATGGATCTTCACCTCGATGGTGTAACCCCCGTTGTTTATGAGGAAGATGATGTTGTTCCCCACCTGAGCATCGTCGACACTTCTTGTGCCGTCACCTATATACCAGTCCAATGAAAAATATTGGTAGCTACATATTTTGATAATACGCTTTAATTATAAAATAAGGTAGAACGTTTGGCGATTCTGAATTTTTTTTTGTACCTGAAAGCTGCCATCCCCAATGAGAGAAATGACTCGCTTATCCTTAGCAGCCTGCGCATATCCCATAGTAGCCCCGACCGACCAACCAATTGATCCATATTGCAGCTGACATTCATACCTGCCAATAGAAATGGTGTTAAATTGAAAATAAACCGAACGGAGTACATCCTACCTATTGACACACGCATCGCTTGTGAGTTGTCACCAGTGTAAAAAAATAGTCTAGATTTCTATCATTCATTTTGAAATGTGCTAAGACTCTTGCATGAAACCAACTGATAATATGGCCCCACCAACCGGTGACACATCACTGGTTATTTGAATCAAAGTTCAAACTACTATGAGGCATTTTATAAAATTTTCGCAGACAAGCAATGAATTTGCAAAATATCAAAACAAAATATATAATCCCAGTATTCAAAATATACCTAAATCAGAAATACTAAGAGAACGTGTGTGACAAACAACAAATGCGGGGAGTTTCAAAGAACTCATAGACCGAAGTTAGAGCTCTAAACCGCTTGGTATGAGCGGTTCGCTATCATAAAAAACAATCAACAACAGAAGTTAGAGCTTTGAAATATTTCAGGGGAGCTTACCCACAGCCTTCTGGTAGTTTTAGCTTCTGGCAGTTAAACCATGAGTCCCCGGTCTCTGCTATAACAGCCGAGTTGCCAGACAACATTTTCTGAATATGCTTGAAAAACACATTCACTCTCAAAGGCTCTCCAGGCTCAGAGGGACGGGGTTCGCCGTCAGGCACAAAAATCCGGCTATGTATCTCGCACGCAGCCGTGTTCTTCTTGAGCCGGGTAGCAAGTGCACGCAAGAAGTCCTTCATCAGAACACACCCAAATGCAGGCCCATTCCCAATCACCACTCGGTCCGGCTGCACAATGATGGCCTTCTCATTATTGAGAAGAAGTGAGTATCCAACCGAGGTGTGGTCGTTGAATATCGGGCCAGCAAACAAATAGGCATCAGCTGACTCCACAATCTCTCCACAGAATGGAGTGCTCACAACACCCCAGTATGTGCCGATGAATCTAGGGTGGTGCTCTGGTACAAGCCCCTTGGCAGAAGGCATCACCGCGAACGGGTAACCGCATGCATCGGCTAGCTCTACGAAGGCTTTGCGTGCTTTGGCCATCCTCATCTTCGCTCCCCCAACAAGGACCGGCTTGACCGATTTGTTCAAGAAAGCCGCAGCGGCTTCCACCGCTGCTTCCAGGCTCATCTGGTTTGACAGTCTAAGAAATGAAAAATTCATCCACATTAGTAAAAAAATCCTGTTGCCATCATTCTTATGCGTGTCGAAGGAAAATGCCGACTTGCCTTGGGGAGAGAAAGAAAGGTACATGATGGCCGCTAAAGGTGGGATGAGGGATTGAAGGGAGGTCGCAGCTAATGCTGATGTAAACAGGTTTGCTCTCCTTCAGTGCAGTGGAGATGGCAGTGTCAATCTGTTCATGTGCATCCTCCAAGTTGTTCACCACTGCCTGCAATTTATGAAATGAGGTCATATCATATCAAAATACGAAAACATCACAGTGCTCATTCAGATATGTTCCTTTTCCCACGGAAATCCAATTTGGCTCCCGAGAGCACGTGCTCCTGCGCACAAAAAATGATTTATGAAATGTCAAAAAATCCCAACAATCTTTTTACGCATTCATAGTCACATCCAAATGCTACCTGCAAAGTTATAGGCAAAAAAGTTAAACATTTTCGCTTGTGCAAAAAAAAATTGAACACCAAATGTTACCCCAAATTTGCTTTTTCACCGACGAAACATTACTGCTCCGTTTTGCATGAAAATTGTCAAGCATGCTTGTGACACTAACACGAACATCCAAAAAAAATCAGATTTAAAAAAAAACATTTTACCACTTTTTTTTTTGATTTGTTGTTCATCCGGGAGCAAATGCTCCCACAGCCAAAACGCCTTCCGGGCTTCCCCCGGAAATCCAATTTGGCTCCCGGGAGCAAGCAAATGTTCCCGGGAGCGAGCAAATGCTCCCGGGAGCCAAAACGCTCCCCCTTCTTTACAAGAAAATGTTAACAGTTAATGTGTATCGGTATCAGAAAGCTTACTTCTAAATTTGCTGCAAATAACCCAGTTATGTCCAGAATACATGCACATATTCAGAGAACACAATTTTACATCAGAAAGAAATATTTTTCATAATTAAAGTACAGATCAAATTGTCAATCCTAATTGCATGCCCTAGAAAGACTGACATATGTACATTCCTATCAGGCTCTACAAATTTTAGCATCTCGTTGAATTATGTCAGGAAGGATAATGAAAGATCAAGTTGCATAATAGTCCCTCCGTAACTTAATATAAGACGTTTTTCAACACTATGACAGTGTCAAAAAACTTCTTATATTAGATCTATAAAAAAAACTTCTTATATTAAGTTACGGAGGGAGTAATACTGTTGTGCTGATTGACTTAACACTAGAATAACCTTTATTAGGCCGAAAATGCTAAAACTGCAGAAGAGCAATTCTTAGGCACATCCCTGACAAAGTGACAATTCCAACTAAACCTAATACTCCACAGGTTCAGACCACCGACCAAACTTTCCCCTAAAATCTAAGCAGTGCTAAAATTCCTAACAAAGTCATATTTATACTTACGAATTACTCCCTCCGTCCCAAAATAAGTGACTCAACTTTATACTAACATTGTACTACTAAAGTTAGTGCAAAGTCGAGTCACTTGATTTGTAAGATAAGAAATGAGAATAAAACTGAAACTCATCCTCTACTAGTCCACACACATCAAAGTTTCTCTCAGGCAGAAATATATCTGAATTTTTCTCTACGCTGCTGCGGATATTCTGCACTGCTGCGCGCGTACAGTGAGGAGTGAGCACAGGCATGTACTGTACCTGGTAGCAGGTGACGTTCTGGAAGCAGCGGAGCTCCTGCGAGAAATCGGGGAGGCCGATGGTGTGGTGCAGGATCCGGTTGCTGCCGTAGTCGTTGCTGTTGGGGCCCCCGGAGATGCACACGACGGGGAGGTTCTCGCTGAAGGCGCCGGCGACGGCGTTGATGGCGCTGAGCGCTCCGACGGTGAAGGTGACCACGCAGGCGCCGACCCCGCCGGCGCGCGCGCGGGCGTAGCCGTCGGCGGCGTAGGCTGCGTTGAGCTCGTTGCAGCACCCGACGAGCCGCACCCCGCCGCCGGACGGCTGCTCGGCCTCGAGCTCGTCGAGGAGCGTGAGGTTGAAGTCCCCCGGCACGGCGAAGACGTCGCGCGCGCCCACATCGGCCAGCCGCCGCGCGAGGTGGCGGCCCAGCGTGGCCTCCCGCGGCGTGGCGGCCGCCGCGTCGTCGTCCTGGGAAGGCACCGAGCCGATGTCCATGGCGAGGGTAGGGAGGGCGGCTTGCTGGCGGTTGGAGCGGTGGTTCTTCTTGGCCGCTGTGGGCGCTTGGCGCTGGTGATGTAGGCGCCGGACAGTTGGAGGCTAGTGGCGACACATCGCCGGGCATGGGCACGCGGCATAGGGAGGGGGAACAAGTGGCGCGTGCCTCCTTTTTTCTTTTTCTGGACAAAAGGCCAAAGGCCCAACTTTCATCGAATTCTCAACAGCCTGCATGAATTTAGTGAATTAGGCCTCTTCCAATACACGCTTGCTTAAATAAGGTGCTAAGCATATTTAAGAAGCTTAGCAACTAAAGTCCACAATGCATATCTGCTTAATATATTGTAGTTAAATATTTTTAAGTTCTTGATTTTATAAAAAAACAATTTTTTGAACAGTTTTTGAATTCACGAACTTTTAACAGTTTCCAAGCTTTTTTAATTACCAAATAGTTGTTGAATATTTTGGCTTTTTTAATGTTAAAAAAAGAAAGGAAAAAACCCACCCAGATCCGTACCCTAGGCTACAAAACATATTGATGAAAGCTAATGGGCCGGCCCACGCCTACGCCATCGAGCTGGGCCGAGTGAACCTAGCGACGCGGGATGTGAGCGATCGCTCGAATCTGCCGAAGTGAAAGAACCGGAGATCCCCTTCCGCCACCGGCGTTGAAGCGGCAGACAGAGGTGGAGGCGTATTCACAAGCTCACCGACGAAGTTTTGGGGGTAGAGTTTGCCCTGGTTCTATTTTTTTTAGAAAAGTAGGATGATCCCCGGCCTCTGCATCTGGGAGATGCATACGGCCACTTTATTGATTATTCTCGAGGACCTTACAAAGTATTACAACAATGTGTCTGAGTCCACCATCTTGGCAACATATGCCCCTACTCCTATCCAAAATGATGAAGGGATGCTAGCTGGGCCACTACCCAAACCACTCACCTAAGCCTAACATCAAAAGCCGGAAGCCGAAACTCATTTGGAAGCCCCAGCCGAGCCACATACCGGGTCTGGGGCACAATCCGATCAGACGCACTCGTGTGTCGTCGCCGCCATCTTCCACAGGTCTTCAGATCATATTGAGGCTTCTACCTTGTCTGCCCACTCAGCCATCGACGTCACCATGACGCCAGACAGCAACCTCCTCCTGCGCGAGCCCATCTCCGCGCATCGGGCGCCGAGTCTCCACAGCGCCATGCCATCGATCTCCGCCGCCATCCAATGTGTGAGATGAAACACCGCTCCACCATCCCTCCAGCCAGCACTTGCTCCAAGACGATGCCCCGAGAAGGGAAAGCGATAGAACACCATCATCATCCGATCCGAAAGACCCAGATCTGGGGTTTCCCCCTGAGCATCCCGAACCTGATGGTGCAGACTGCCGACGATGCCTCGACCATCGGCATTAGCTCCACCAGACGAGCGTCGCCTACGTCGCCGCAGCCTCCAAGATGAAACTGACCAGAATGCATATGTTGACACCGAACCGCCGCCACTTCCACCGCCGCTTGAGCAGCCCCCGAGCAACGCCTTCAGGAAGGAGCACGCCACTGTGGTGTCGTCGTCGCTTGGAACAGGGGGGTCTGAGGTTTTCACCTGAGCTCCTGGGAGGGGTGGAAGGAAGGAGGTCCTCTCCGAAGCCTCCAACGAGGGAAGCAACACCCAAAGGCACTGCCATCGGAGTGGCCGCCACGCCGGCCAAGAGATTCCCTCGGAACCCTTCCAGCCACCGGATCTGCAAGGCCAGCACCCAAGAACGGTGACCGAAGCCACCAAGGGCCGGATCCGCTGCAGATCGGAGTAGATCGGGGTCGAGGACGAACATCACCATGGCCACCAACATCCAGCGAGGATCCGCCGCCGCAGCAGAAGCCCACCACCTCCCCGCCATCCACATGGCCAGGGAAGTGGCCCACCTGTCCACGCCGGCGCCGCCCGCCGCCAAGCTACGCCGCGTGCCACCAGCCATGGCCGCCGCCATGGATCCGAGCCGCAGGCGGGCCGCCAGCCGCGGTGCCCCGCGGGAGAGGAGAGCTGCGCCACGGGGGGAAGGCCAACCCCAGCAGATCGGCTCTGGGGAAACCCTCCCGCGCGCCACCGCGTCGCTTGAAGCGGCCTCGCGCCGTGCACGCGGGCCCCTGCACAGCCGCGTCCAGGGCGCGCCGGAACCCCAGATCGGGTCCAACCCGCGCGCCGCCCACCTCGTGCCTCGCCGCGCCTCCATCTGCCGCTGCCTCGGAGACCAGGACCTGGCGCCCCGCCGCCGCCTTCCTTGGGGCCGGCCCGAGCTTCGCCGGGGGCGTCCTCTGGCGGCGGCAGGACGGCTGGGGGGAAGGGGAAGAGGGTGGCGGCGCTAGGGTTTTTTACCCCCGAGTCGCCAGATGAGGCGACGCCACCCTGGTCCTATTTGATCATTATGTTTTTGTCATTGATATGTTCGCTCGTGTTCAGAGCCTTTTCTATTTCACAAATTCTTGATAATAGGTTGTGGGCTATGGAGGTCTTTATATTCAATCGAGAAATCTAACCACCAATCGGCTGGTGGTTTGCAACAGGCACGTACGATCTGGCGACCGCTCGATCCGCTCATCCCGTGCAACAGCCGCTCGATACAATTTTTTTCCAGTCTCCCGCGCAACAATCGCTCGATCTGTTTTTTTTCAGTCTCGCACGTGAAAAAGAAAAAAAAGGCGCTAGCAAGAATCAAACCTAGAACTTGTTGGTTGAGGCCATAGCACGCTACCAACTGAGCTAACTCTCTCTTCTTGTTTTCTATGCAGATTACATGTTTTTTATACCTTATTAAATGAGTGGAAAGGAAAAACAACTCGATCCGTTTCTCTCAGCCGACAAAACCGGAAACTTGTGTGTAAATAGCATGGTATTTGACGCATGCAGACCTAGTAAATTATGATGCAAAGACCGTGATAACTTATGGGTAAATAGCATGATTATACATCGTAGATCTGACAATTTACATACAAATACCATTGGTAATTTTGACCCGAAAAAATGTTAAATAATCTAGTCCGGTAACTTGTATGTAAATAACATGATAATATAGACACAACAAAGTTGATAACTCACGTACAAACACTGTGGTAACCATTTGACCCGAGAAAAAATATTGAAAAACAACCCCTGATAAATTCTGTGTAAATAGGATGATAGTATACACACAACAGAGCTGATAACCCACGTAAGAACACCGTGGTAACTCCTTTAACCCTAGGATAAAAGTTGCTGGAAATCATACGCCGGTAATTTCTGTGCAAATAACATGATAATATACACACAACATAGCTGATAACTTTGACTTTGAAAATTTTCTATTTGGAAAACATTACTCCGATAATTGTTGTGTAAATGACATGATAATTTATGCACTGCAGCCCTGATAATTTAGATACAAATATGACGGTAATATTTCAATGCGAGGGGTGCTTGAAACATACCCTGATAATTACTATGTAAATAGTACGATAATTTATGTAGTGCTGTCATGATAACTTATGTACAAACACCACGATAATGTTGACCTAGAAAAAAGTTTTTAAAAACATCTCTTGATAACTTTTGTGTAAATATCATGATTTTTACAGACTGCAAAGTATAATAATTTTGTACAACATCCAGCCGTATCTTTGACCCAAGAAAAAATATTTAAAATATTCCCCGATAACTTATATGTATAAAAAGCATGATAAGTTACGTACCAAATGGTTGATAACTTTTGTACCCTCGCAAAGAAAAAACTTTTGTACCCTGGTATGCTTTTTACAACGAAGTTATCATGATATGTCAACAATTTTTACTACGTTAAAATTACCATGATGTTGTAAATATTAACAGAGCAGCCGGGCCATCTATATAGGATAAAAATATAAAAGGAAAGAAAGAAAAAGTATTCGTTTCCAGGTCACGCTAAGTAGCAGTACAAATAGTATCTAACCTTAATCTAATCACTGGCTCAATCTAGACCGGGTGGTTGTGAACTATTATGGACTACCAAGCACTACCGGACTCGCGGTCTATGCCTACGGCCAAGGGCCGTCGGCATAGGCCCCCAAGCCGTCGGCATAGGTCTATGCCTACGGCTGCCGTCGGCATAGACCCGTCGGCGTAGATACCGTCAGCGTAGTCTTGTCAGACCGTCGGCATAGTAAAGCCGTCGGCATAGGGGCCTATGCCGACGGCCTGGCGTCAGCCGTCGGCATAGTATAGCCGTCGGCAGTCTTTTTCGTCTGACGGCAACGGACGGCGCCGTCAAAAACGGGGACGAATCACGCAAGGCCACGTGGCAGGGCTATGCCTACGGCAAAGCCGTCGGCATAGATTTGCCACGTGTCGTCTTCTGGTTACTCCTGGCAGCAGAGGTATGCCTACGGCTTTGCCGTCGGCATAGATTTTCATCTATGCCTACGGCAAAGCCGTCGGCATAGATCCGCCACGTGGCGAGCCCTGGTGACTCCTGGGCTTATATATGCCGACGGCTTTGCCGTAGGCATAGTTTTTTTTTCCCTGTTTTTTCTCTTTTCCAATTCATTTGACAGCATTTCAAAACAGAACAATATGAAATTATGCAGAAATATGACAGTTCATCATCTAAACATACTCAAGTTCACCATCATCATCTAAACATACTCAAGTTCATCACATCATCTAAAGATCATCACCGACTCAAGTTCATGAACATAAAAGTTGTGCAAGACATGAAACATCATAAAAGTAGGAATATGAAAGGCATGGCACGACGGCCACATGCACGGAATCATCAAGCAAGACCACCTCCGCCAAAACCACCACCTCCGCCAAAACCACCACCTCCGCCAAAACCACCACCTCCACCAAAACCACCACCACTCTGCCAGATCGGAGTGACTGGGGTCGACGGAGCAGGAGTCGAGCCACCGGTCCCCTACATGTTTCAGAAAAGATTCTAACAGTAAATATGATATGATAGTGTTGAATGAACGAGAACTAGTTTGTCAGTAGTTAGG